AACAGGATATCACTGATACGGAATTTCCGTAGAACAAAAGGGAATCTGGAAAATCCTGTGGCAGTATATACATAAAGTATACGTAAAACATTTTATTTGTATATTGTAATATACAAGAATCAATACAAGTACAAATAAAAATATTCACACTTTTATGTACTCCATTTTCTTTCAGAGCTGTTGACGAGTCACCGCCTATTGCCTCTTTCTCCTTGCTACTCTATTCACCCTCAGGTTATCGAGGTGCGTATCTGTCATGCAGTTTAAATGCGGGTGTTAAAAATCTTTTTTTGTTATTAATTTTTAATAGCGTTTTCCATTTGCTGACTCGACCCGACTCCGAGTCGGAAGAGTTTGATGAAAAGTAAGATTTTTGCAGAAATTGTGGTTCCAATCTTGCTTTTGATCAAACTTGTCCGACTCGGAGTCGGGTCGAGTCAGAAAATGGAAAACGCTACAACTCCGTGTGTCGGGAGTATTTACATACATGTGCTACGAAAGATTTTAGATAAGCAATCTTTGCAGATTCAGCTGTTGAACTAGTGTGTCAAGCCGGTGCAAACGACGGCGTCCTGCAACACAAAAGGACACAATACGTATGTATATGTAGTCTTATTAATTGTATGTCATGTATGTGTAATATGTAACGTATGAAAATGATTTTTGGTGCCAATATCTTACCGGTGTCGATTGGGGGACGACGATGCGGTGTCAAAGATTGCGGCCTCCGTCGTTGATAGCCTGCTCGACGATTCACCCAGTGAATTAGCTGACGAAATATCAGTCAAGGGCGAGTGCCTGCAACGGAACGACGGTTCGGCGGACGACGAGACTCATGATTGGGAGAAATGGATGTCGCAAGGCTCTATCACAACGTGGAAATTTCTTTCCGCAGTTGACTCTAAGCGCAAATTTTTTTGTCTATAAAGTTGCATTCCTCTAAATCGCATTAACTTCGTATTAACATTTGCATCAAAATTGAATCGGAGAAAGTTGCAACGTTTATATACTTTTGGAAATATCAAAGGTATTTTTGATAAACTTTGTCTCTCAATGAGGATTCATCTTTCCAGCTAAATCGACACAGCGTCAAGTATCCGACATCGTTTCCACTCTGGCGAACGTTTATGGCCCGTTAGGATTTATTTGTCAACGAGTATCGCACTCCAGATCTCTACAACTTAAAGTAAATATTGAATATTGTATAATACTAAATTAAAAATAGTCGTATACTTTAAGTTGACATTGTTTTACATTTTACATTTTCAAAGATTGTTTCACTTGCGATTTGTTATTGACACGATGGACATTTCTTCTAAATAACATAATGAAATTATTTAAATTTAATTCTGTCAATAGTGAATAAACAACAAATAAGAGCGTGCCCATTTTAGTAAATGTCATTAATTGGATAACTTGACACATCAATATCAGAGATCTGCTAAAATCATTAACGCTAATCACTAATTAATATTAAAAATGCCACATGTGTCAATTTAATGCTATTACTTGTAAATTCAGAGTTTGATTGAAATGTGATTGTAGCTGCGTAGGAGCTACGTTACTTATTGTCCGGATACCAAAACAAATGTTCTTCGTTTGATAGATTGGGGCCCTGAGAAGGGCCGGTGGTGAGTTCTTAGAAGAACTGTTTCGATTTAGTTAGTTGAGATAGCTGATTTCGTCTATCCTGCTGCTTCTGCTTCCGTGCTGTAGCGTAGGAGCCGGTCTGGGTCCAACTGTCCGCAGTGGTTATGCCGGAACTGGGTGATATGGGACGTGAATTCCGTGGATCCAGTGGACCTA